TTAGCCGATCTGTGGACCAGTATGGTTTTATATTATGCTTATAGACGTGAGGCATAAGCATTATTGTTGCAAAAGCAAATACATTCTGCAACAGTCATCTCTTTCCACCGGTGTAGTCTGACTGTGGTGATATGATCGTATTTGCCATGGTTGTACTCAAAATATTGTTACTTTCCCTGACAATAGTTTTCCATCAATGGCTGGTCAAAGAATAGTTCAAAGAATTCCAGTTCATTTGCAGTGTTTCCAGAGGGACAAGTAGGTAGAATTCCACTTTGAGAGTCATCAAAGTGGTGGGGCTTGGGAGCAAAATTGGGATTTTGCTGCCAATCCCACATACGGTTTGCTGGTGAATACTGGACATCATAGGTGGTTGTGCAGGTAGTAGTGGTTGTGGTGGGCTGGTGGCTGATGCTCCGCTTTGTCCTTGAACTGTGGAGTCAGCAGCGTGGGGTGGTGAGTCACGCATGGCCGTGGCACTACCATCACCGCTACCACCATCAACTGATGCCTGTGGTTATCCATGCAAGTGTAGCCACATCATCCTCACTGTCACTGTCTATACCTGGTGTAGGGCCATGGGATGTACTCCGGGATGTACTCTGTCCCCTGGGTATGGCATAGGGCACACTACCCGAGCGCATGCGGCAGTTGTACATACGACGCTTCACTGGTGAATATGTTTCCTCACTGTCACTACTTGAATGATCGTCAAGAGCAATAAAATCACAATCCACGTCACTATCATCATCATTACTGAAGTCAGAGGCCTGGCCACGCGAAAATAATATTTTTTTCTTGCATTGAGGTACAATTGATGGTGACTGAGGAGTGCCACACCAGAGGTAGAAGTTGAGGATCGTCAGGGTTTTCTGCACTATTATCGATATCCTGGTCATTCCTTTCGGTCACTAACTGATCAAAGCCAAAGAATTCGTCTTCATTTCCACTTCCATCAGTGTCAGAACTATCAGATAGGAAGAGGAGAGTCCCAGTTTCCTTGGAGTGAGAGCTGCTTTGCGACGAGGCATGGTGAACAAGGGTAACCGACCGGCGTTCCCACAATGCTATGCGGGCGCCTAGATTTTTGTTCATATCGCACGCCCACCACGCAGACCTGTTCTCTCACATGTAGGCCTATGAGCGTTTTCGTGCTAAATTTGACGGCGCTAAAATTTTGGCGTAGATCTAGGGTTTGGGCACTCAATGTGAACCCGTAGATCTAGGGGGACGGCCCCTGAAAAGATTAATATTCTATTATTATTTATAACATAATTTTATTAAATACCACTGCCTCAATTGCTCCCTTACCACTGCCTCAACCCTCCCTCAACCACTGCCTAACCCTCCCTAAAACCTTCCTCAACCATTTCCCTAAATCACCCCTCACCCACTGCCTCCCCCCATCCCTCGCCCCTTTCCTCAACCCTGCCCATTGCCCCCACCACTGTACCCACTACCTCCCCCACCCCTACCACTGCCTCATCTGCTGTTCACCCACTGCGTCCCCCACTGCATCGCCACTGCCTCGCCCCTGCCTAAAACCGTTTTCCTCAACCCCCTCCCTCAACCGCTTCCTCAACCACTGCCTTACCACCCCAGTCGCACTCAATTACAAGCCCCAAAACACAAGAATTTTGTGAATGTTTGGAAGAGCACGGAGCAATGCTTTCCCAGCATAAACAAAGCCACATGACGATTGTTCAACCACTCCCCTTGTATTTTTGTACAATTTCCTTCTTCAATTCTATCATATTTAAATTTATTATTATTATTATTTTTTTTTTATTATTATTATTATTATTATTATTTTACTTTGTTATTATTAGCAGTAGCAAAATGTTTGATTTTTGCTGTGTTCAAAGTAAACACATGTGTCACCCTCCAATACCCGTCCCAATAGCCTTCCCAAAAGCATCATAAAGGGTTTTCATTATTTATTCTTAGTTTAATGCCCGAAATGAACAAACAAACACCACACTGGGGGGAGGGAGGTGCCAGTTGCGGGGGTCGGAGGGTGAGGAAGTGGTGGAGGCATGGATTTAATAACAAATGTTATTAAAGCATAAAAAATTATGCATTTTTGTACAATTTTGATGTTTTATGTATTTTATATGTTCATGGTTAACAAGTTTAAAGGGAAGCATATTTTATTATATTTCCCCACAATTTTGGGCACCCAAAATTCCGAGGCTCTTGATCCCTAGCCCCCCCAAAAGTTTAGGGAGACCGTATTTTTTAAATAAAAATATTTTTAAAAAAAAAAAAAAACATAATCAGGGACCCTCAGTTAAAATTAATCCATTTTAGAAGCTTGTCCTTAACCATTTTATGTTATCCGAATTCTTTTCCCCCAAAGAAAAATGGAAAAAAATTAATCCGTTTCCCAAAACCCCAAAAAAATTTAAAAAAATTTAAATTTTTTTACTGACTATACATTTTCCTACACAGAAAACAATAAGATATGCAGGATAAATACATTTAATAATTCATAAAATGACACTTACCTTTATTGAAGACTTAGTGATGAGATGGGAGGAGGGGAGAGGATGGAGGTGTATTATTGTTTGGAAGGGGAACCCCCTTCCATAAGGACTTTAGCTAGCAAGTCCTTTCCGGGGTTACCTCCCATCTTTGTTTTTAAATGCCACTAGGACCAGCTTGAGAGTCACTGGATCCCAGTCACAACCAAAAATCTGTCCAGAGAGCTCTGTTTCTGTGTGTCTGTAAGACACAACATTGTCATTGTAAAAGTCACCAGCACAGCTTGCAGCAGCTGTGTCAAGGTGATGTTCATCCATAAAGACTTCCACCTTTGTCCCACATTGTACAAATGTCAACTATCCAGTACAGTGGTCAAAAATTTAGCAATTTTGCCAATTTCACACAAATTTCAAAAGATGCCAATTTCTGAATAGGGTCCAGAATAAACAAGAAAGACATTCCTGGCACTAAAATGACTTTTCCCTCTGTTCATTAGTCACGTCTCAAGGCCCCTCTTACATTCTTTTGCTTTCCACTTTGAATTTTTATTCTCGCAAAAAATAGAAATTTACTGTTATGCAGACTACTGCATTAGTTTTAAAAAAATGGTAAAAATTTAATATCAGCGCCCCTTGCAAAAGAATGTTAGACTCACCAGTTGAGTGTATTGGACGCTTGGCATGATTTGTTTACTTTGAACTTTGGTAAAAATCGAACATTCTGCTACTTTGAGCTCAATTTTAAGGTACTTTTCATTTTAAAAAACCAGTCAAAATCATCTCAATTTCTGTAATATGTCTTCCATTCTATAAATTGAGACCAAGAAAACTAGAATACAACAATAAATACCATATGAAAATACAGTGCAAAGTCGCTGTTTTATTCCAAAAAAACGGTCAAGTTTTTTTTTTCTCATTATGCACTGTGTGCTGCAGATTTTTTTTTATACTGTGCACACTGACCACATAGACCCATTCTTTCATATGAAGGCCTACCAGCTTTCTCCCACTAGATTTGAGGGCGCTAGAATTTAGGCGTACTAGTACGTCAAAAACCCTGGGTCGTAAGCCGTACTAGTACGGCCGAAACCCTCAAAGGTTAATTGTTAAAGAAGGCAACTTCCTCCATCTCTCTTCTCCCTCCTCTGAAGCAATTTCCTCATCTGTGGTCTGTTGCTGTTGCAGATGAAGATCTTGCAACTCATCAATGGTTAGCTCTTCATCGTTGTTCTCCACCAACTCTTCCACATCCTCGCCACTAATCTCCAACCCCATAGACTTCCACAACTGGGGTATAGACTCCTCAGGGTTAGCCCCAAACCCTTTCAAGATCCTCTGTTGTACACATGTGGTCACACTTTTCTCCAAGCAGAGTTAAAAGTCCTCCAAGTCACTTCCTCCCAAGCCTTACCTATAAGGTTTATGCAGCTGAGGATACTGAAGTGCTCTTTCCAGAACTCTCTTAGGGTCAATTCAGTGTCTGAGGTCACTTGAAAGCACTTTTAAAACTGCGTTGATGTACAGTTTTTTGAAATTTGAAATGTTCGATTTTTGCCAAAGTTCAAAAGTAAACAAAACATGCCACGCATCCATTACACGTCAACTGGTGAGTCTAATATTCTTTCACTAGTGCGTTGATATTATTTATATCATTTCTACACTAATGCAATAGTCTGCATAACAGTAAATCATTTATTTTTTGTGAGAATAAAAATTCAAAGTGGAAAGCAAAAGAAATGTAAGGGGGGCCTGGGGACGTGACTAATGAAGAGAGGAAATGTTATTTTTGTGCCAGGAATGTCTGTCTTGTTTATTCTGGACCCTGTTTGGAAATTGGCATCTTTTGAAATTTGTGTGAAATTGGCAAAATTGCTAATTTCTGACCACTTTTTTGGATAGTCGAAATTCGTAAATTGGTGGTTTCTTGTACTCATTCGATAGAAAAAATTGAGTTCTAGCAAAATAGTTATGATTTTTGTTGACTAGTACATTGGAATTGGCCGAAAATAGGGCTCAGTGGGCGAAATTGCCAATGCGTAAACATCGTCGAGACCACTAACTTCACGAGAGCATAATTCTGTAAGTTTTCCATCAAATTTCACTCTTTGGTGTCATTATGATTGGGAAAAGATTCTCTGTCTTTTCATAAGAAAAAATAATTTTGTTTTTTTTCCCGAAAAATTTTTCGACCCTGAGAACAAGTTTAGGAGAGAGCCTCTCGACCCTGAAAGGGTTAATTGTGGCAACATTTTGCTCTCCAGGAACTTTTACCTTTTGTCTGTAATTCTACCACTATGACTATCTTGACTTTCAAACTCACTTCTTCACCCGACTCATCCTCTGCTTCCTTCGATTTTGTCTTTATTCTTTACTTGATAATGGTTTAGGTTGGACCAAAATATCATCTAAAGTTTCGTTTCCAATTTTTGGATTGTTGTGAATTTATCCAGCCGTGATAATGTGACTTATTCTTCTTGAACATGAAATAATCAAGAATATTTTTTATATTGCTTACAGGTGGAGTCATCAGTTGTGAGAATAGAACCACGAAATCCAGTGCCAAAGATCAACTTTTCTGAATGGGATGGCCTTCTACGTATTGCTTTTGTTAGAAAAAACAAAACGCTTTCTGCTGCCTTCAAACATTCTTCTGTACTGCAGGTCAGATTTTAAATAACCAATTATATACACAACTTATATACAACTTAATCTGCTGTTTGCTAGTCTACAGATTTGTGTTGGGTATAATTGTCATCTGTAGAAGGAAGACTGTAGACTGAAAATTTGGCTGCTTTCACTCAGTGGTTTTAACAAAACATCAATACTTTTTGGACTGAAGAAAGTAGTAATTTAAAAATATATGGGTGTGTAAAGGTAGAAAGTTCAAAGTGAACATAAGTAAGAGTAAGGTGATGAGGGTATTTAAATGATTTAGATAAAGAAAAATTGGATATCACATTTGAGGGAGGGAGTATGGAAGAAGTGAATGTGTTCAGATATTTGGGAGTTGACTTGTCAACAGATGGGTTTATGGAGGATGAGGTTAACCATAGAATTGATGAAGGAAAAAAGATGAGTGGTGCTTTGAGGTATCTGTGGAGACTAAAAATGTCCTATATAGAGGCAAAGAAGGGAAATATACAAGAGTATAGTGGCACCAACACATATGGGTGTGAAGCTTGGGTTGTAAATGCTGCAGCAAGGAGGCAGCTGGGGGCATTGGAGATGTCATATCTAAGGGCAGTGTGTGGTGTAAACATTATGCAGAGAATTCGTAGTGTGGAAATTAGGAGGAGGTGTGGAGTTACTAAAAGTATTAGTCAGAAGGTTGAAGAGGGGGTTGTTGAGGTGGTTTGGTCATTTAGAGAGGATGGAACAGAGTAGAATGAGTTGGAGAGCATAAAAAATCCATAGGGGAAGGAAGGCGGGTTAGGGGTCGTCCTAGGAAAGGATAGAGGGAGGGGGTATTGGAGGTTTTGTGGGCGAGGGGCTTGGACTTCCAGCAGGCATGCGGCAGCATGTTAGATAAAAGTGAATGGAGAATAATGGTTTTTGGACCTGAAGAGCTGTTGGAGTGTGAGCAAGGTAATATTTTATGAAGGGATTCAGGGAAACTAGCTAGCCGGACTTGAGTTCTGGAGGTGGGAAGTACAATGCCTTCACTTTAAAGGAGGGTTTGGGATATTGGCAGTCTGGAGGGACATCTAGACTGTTGTATCTGAGCGCTTCTGCAGACAGTGATTATTATGAATGATGGTGAGAGTGTTGAATGATGATTAAAGTTCTTTTTTTCTTTCTTTTTGGGTCACCCTGCCTTGGTGGGAAGCGGCCGGCATACTAAAATAAAAAATGTAAATGTATTATCAATGTTTATGCTTTATCATAAATGTTAATAATTTCCTATCCTTTCCAGACTTTAGAAAAAAATTTCAAAATTTGGGTGTTCACTACATGAGAAAAAGATACCTGAAGATTTTGTTATGAAGGAAAAATTGAAGATATTCTGATTGATGGAAAGTTTGACAAGAAACGTGCAAGGCATATGGATCAAGATGACTTCTTATCATTGTTACATGCTTTTTAATAAAGAAGATATTCATTTTGTATAGCTATTTAAATAGTTTTATATAGAGGATATATTTTTCTTATCACTTGTAAGGTCAATAGTGCAAGGCAGTTTGAAGTATTTACCAAGTACTAAATGTATGGGTCTAGTAGTTTATTTCCTTAGACTGACTGAGGAAACCTGAATTGCTCAAAGAACTAGTAATTTGTATAAAGAAAAAAGGTTGACTTTTTTTTTTTTTTTTTTTTCAAAATTGGCTGTTTCACACCAAAGTGATCCAGAGAAGGAAATAAACCATCACTCATTTTTTGGCTGCCTTTCCAGAGTGGTTTGAAAGTATGTTTTTGAAAGAAAAGGTGTTCATTTCAAGGGGACAGCCATAAGGATGCACTGTACAGCCTGATACTGTAACAAGTGACAATTTTAACATGTGTGATATATCTTGCTTATCTCACTATTTATGTAGTACCTTTTATTTCTATTTATTTAGCTACTTTTGTTATTAAATTATATTTGTGATGTTCTTTGTGTCTCATAAAAAACTTGCTCTTAAAAAAGAAAAATACATAAAATTCAGTCTGTGGTTTTCGAAGATAACCATTTTTCTCATAATTATTTTTTCCCTACATATTACAGTCAGTCTTAGTGACTGAAACCACATCTCCATTACTTGAGTAATGGCATCATAAGTTCTCAGGCTATTTCCTGTGATAAATTAATTACCCATGAAAATAGAAATGTATTCTATTTTTTTAACACTCAATATTGCTTTAGATCTTTCCTTTTTTTTTTTTAACATCAGCTTTTTTCCCCCCCAAAGGGAAATTAAATAATATGTTATTGTATTGGATTGTATCAAAGTGGAAATTGAGAATTTTTAACAAATATTTTAATTAAATTATATATAATTGGATCCAAGTCCTTAAGAGGCTAAAAATATTAAAAAAATGTTTTTGCCCAAATGTAAAATAATAGATTATTAGGAAAAAAATTCACAGCCTTTAAAAAAAATAATTTACATACAAATTTAATTCTATGAAAAACTAGTAGAGCAGTGCCAAATGCACTTTTTATTTAAGCATATGGGCATCCAAAGCTAACACATCTGTAAAGTTGTAGTGACCTCTCATTTAAAAAATGGTTATTCTGGAAAGGGGGGCCCCTCTTCAAGGGGGGCTCCTTGGCGGGGTAAAGAGGCTCTTGGTCTGGGGAAATTTAGCCCTGTCGGTTTCTTCCTCAGACCGAACCAATTACCCCCCATTCTCCCCTCCCCAAATCCCATCCTCCCCATCCTCCCCTTTTTCCATTCCCCCTCCTCCTCCTCACCCCTCCCTTTTGCCCTTCCTCTTTTTAGCCTTCGTGATTTCTCCACGGGCGTGCTAGTTCCTAGGTAGGGGAAAGGACACCGGGGTTCGATCCCATTCCGTTGAGGTTTCTTGGCGGTGGCGTAGTTTGCCGTGGAATCTGGATTGCCTAGGGTTTCCCCGATCCCCTCTCCGGTATCCCGGAGTAGCTTTGGGTGTCTTTTGGCGACGGGTGTATCTCTGGAAGCCCCCTTTTCGGATTCCGGGGGTGGTGGCTGAAGGAGGTATGCTTTGTGGCGGATATCCGGCCGCCCTCTCTTTTGTCCACCGAGGTAGCTCGGCAATGTGAGGTTGCTACCCCGGATTGCGGGTTTTAAACTGGCAGAAGGGTAGGGTATGGCACGGTTCCATGCTGCATCTGCGCTACTACGGTGTCGAGTCCTTTTGGGGCGCGGAGGGAGATTTCCGGCCCTTTCATTCCTCCTGGGAACTATTCCTCCCCCGCTCCCCTTTTTTTATTCTTTTTTTTTTTTTTTATTTTCTTTTCTTCTTTCTTTTTTTTTCTTAAAAACAAAAAGAAAAGGAGTAACCTAACCATGGCAGCCCTAGTCATGAAACCACTACCCCCGGGCCCCTTCTTGATACCGCACCCCATTCTGACCCTGCCTTTGTTTAGACCACTCTTCGGACACCCCCTGATGCCCTGTACCTCTTGCTGGTGCTGTTTCCTCACCCGCTTCAGGTACCGGGGCTTTGACTGCCCTCCTTCGATTTGTCTGAACTCCGCTCCCCTTTTTGACTATGCTTCCGGCTTTCTCCCTCTACGGAAACGGCAATTTTTCGAATCGCCCACCCATTTCATGCCGGACCAACTCCGGTCCTACTCCTAAACGCCAACGTCAATCTCCTGATGATGCTCCGTCTTACCTTCCCCATTCTACTCGGAAACGACCGACACGTCAAGCACTCCCTCTCCACGCTCAGTTTCGGACCACACAATGGACTAAATTCTTTACTTTAAACCAACTTCTTCTTCTGCCTACCTTTCTGACCATAGTATTGCCAAAGCGCTCCTGCGTCATGTTGGCAGAGATATTTCATTCACGCTCTCAAAGCGGTACGCGCATCGTCACTGTCCAGAATTGCTACCCAAGCTCATGATCTTTCTCTCCTTTCAAATATCGATACACTCCTATCACTATTGAAAAACATCTTTCTCTCAATTCTTGTAGTGGTACTGTCATTCTGCCCCTACCATAGTCCAACAGAATTTCCAGTCATGTGGCAATACATTTTTGAACAGCTGGAACTCCAGGATCTCCCAATCCTCAAAGTAGACACTTATGTCCTTCCTGCCCGGGGGCGGAGACTTTTCCCCTTGCAATGTGGCCGTTTAACTTTTGACAGCCGAGAACCCCGTCCTCTGTATATGTCGCGGGACAATCGGTTACAAGTTCGAAAGGTGATACCTACACCGCAACAATGTAGAAATTGCTGGCGTTTTGGTCACCCAGCAAAATTTATTGCAGATCATGGCCGAATGCCCAGTCTGTGGTGCCGAAAAACCATTCTAATACATTTTGCAGTAAACCCTCCATCTTGCCTAATTGTAATGAAGCTCACCTTCGTACTCCCGCCGTTGCCAGGTCAAACTTAAATTAACGGAATCCGTTCCCTCAAAGAGGCAGAAGGTCTCCCTTATGCTATGGCAGTTTACTCATCTCCGCCTCCAAGGGAGACTACCCCGTGTTTCTTTTTCTCGTTTTTCCCAAAACATCCCCCACTTCTGGGTCCCATCTTCTGCACCTCCTCTGTTGTTACCCCTCCCATAGCCATTACGGCATCTAATCCTTTTGCTGCCCTTTTGGCTCTAAACGTCCCGACACAACTCAGTCTGTTCTCACACTTCGCGTCCTTCCTCACAAGCCCCAGTATCGACAAGACCTCGTACGACACCTAATACCAATCGCCCCTCTACTCAGAAGTCCAAAAATCCACATTGCTCAAATCTTCTTTGCCCCTTCCTTCCCTTCTTCCACCTCCACACGTTACCTTTCCATCTCTGTACCTAGTTCTTCCCTCTCTCGGCTCTATTACAAGTGGGGAAAGATTCACCCTCCTCCCTACTATGCCTTCCACCCCCGTCCCCCCCCAAGTTTCTCCCTCTTCTGCCCACCTCCCAGGTTTCTACCTCTTCTGTCCCCCCCCCACTTCATCTCCAGTCCCTTACACTTTTCCCTCCCCCTCTATTTTGGTACAGTCCATTACTGTCCAATCTTTACTCACCCTCCTCCTCCTATCTCCAATATGGTTTCCCATACATCTTTGAATTCAGAAACACTTGAAGCCATTTCAGAATATATTGCAGAGACTAAACCTTCAATGGACACTGATTCACTTCCTGTTCCTTCTCTTCCCTCCCTCCATCTCACAACCCCATTCTTCGCAACGCTCCGTTCCTTCGCTACTTGAACACTTCCAATGCCCCCACACGTTGACTTTTCTAACCCCTCTAGTCCGTAGGTCCTTTACCTACAGATTCCTGATATTTTCTTCATCGCCAATCATGGCCTATTTACAGGGGAATATCCGCGCCTCAGGGGTAATGGGGTGAGCTTCAATGTTGCTTTCCGGGTTTTCCCCTTTGGTGCTGCTTACAAGAACCAAATTACACTCGCTGTTTCCAACCTATCTCGGGCTATAATTTATTGTATTCTTGGGATCCTTTCTCAGATGGGCCCTTTTAAATGAAAGTGCCCTTCTTTCTACGAAATGATATTCCGTACTGTCAACTATTTGTCCATACCTCGCTGCATTACACTGCAGCCCTATCCACTTGAATAAGTGGTTTAAAATTTGTTCTTTATATCTCTCTCCTTCTCGACATTTTCTATCCCAGACTTTGCCTTTCTTGTTTAAATCCTTACCACCACCACTTCTGTTACTTGGGGATTTTAAATGCCCACCATTTCCTCTGGGGGGGTCTCATTGTGACTCACGTGGCATTCAGTTGGAGGGTTTTCTTCCTCTCACCCCCTCCCTGTTTTTAAAAACGGGTACTCCCACCCATTTTGATCCTCGTACTCATACTCTCTCTTGCATCGATCTATCAGTCTGCTCTTCCTCCACATCACTAGACTTCACACCTGGTCTGTTCTACCAGACTTACATGACAGCGATCATTTTCCGATCATTCTTACTTCTCCTTTTCCCATTCACCCCTTCCCGTAGCCCTCGCGGCAATTTGATCGGGCAAATTGGGATCTTTACTCACACCTCACTGCTTTTAGTGAGGTTCCTTCTTCATCCTCCATTGATGAGCTCCTACACATCTTCTCGACATCATTTATACCGCAGCTTCTCTATTCTAACCCCACACCTCAGGCAGCATTCTCAGAAAAATGCGTGCCTTGGTGGTCTCCTGCTTGTGCTCGTGCAGTACGTTTGAAACGTGCTGCATGGGGCAGGTAACCGGTACAATAGAACCGCTGAGAGACTTGTTGATTTTAAGCAGAAGCGTGCATTGCTCGCCGTGTCATCCGTGAAGCAAACGCACTTGTTGGGGAGACTATGTTTCCCCCATCACCTCTGCTTCTTCTATGAGTGCAGTCTGGAAAAAAGTGAGGAAATTGAGTGGTAAATACCTCCTGACCCCGGCTCCGTTCTACGGGTCACTGGGGTTGATATAGCAACCCTCTCGACGTTGCCATTGAACTTGGCACCCATCTGGTCCGTATTTCCCGAGGGGTCCATCTATGCCCCTCGTTTCTTTCCTCAAAGTCTGCCAGAGAGTTATAACCCTTGGACTTTTCTTCTCTCGGAGGGAAAAACAGTAAAATTGCCTTTTACACTTCAAGAACTGGAGGGAACGCTCTCGCTTGCCCATCATCGGGAGCTGGGCCTGAG